TGGACAATCCACAAACTACAGACAACAGAAAACAAACTCCCGTAATATAAATGATCGGGGTTGTTATGTCTGCTGCCCCCGAAAAAAAAAAAAAAGATTGAAGCACAGTCTAACGCGTGCGTCTCAAATGTGAAACACAATATGAATATGCGTAACATCCACACTCACCATATCAGCAGGGTTCCCAGATGTCACTGACTCACTTTTTCCAGCTCAGAAATTGTTCATAAACCGCCTGATATATGAAATCTCGCCCAATTAGAACCAAAGTCTATTGATCTCTTAGGCCATAAATCTAAAGAAAAACATTTTCCACCCATAGACGGCCGTCCTAAGCTGCCAGATTGAGAAACATCCCAACCTGGCAACAATGCAGGTAATGCTACGTTCACACCATAAGCAGCAGAGGCAGCTAGTTTATGCAAAGTCGATGATTGATGCGCATCAAGGCGCAGCAAAACGTCCTGCAGCGCGTTGTGAGCTTCTGAGCATCTGACGCGCGGGATGTGCTGCAAATGCGCTGCTGCTGAAGTTGGAAAAATAGAACTTTTGCTGCTGGACGCGCCGCATCAACCAATCAGAGAAGCTGATCTGGAAGCTGGCAGGGAGACAGACACATCACTGCTGATGCAGAGCGCTATGATCACTCCTCTGAAACAGTTTATTAACGCCTAAATTAACTTAAAATGCCGAAATCTGCCAGCAAAACATGTTCGATTTTATTATCCTGGTGCCTGCAGTTTGGATTACGTACATGAAAAACGCCTTGCAGCGGCCGCGGCAAACCGCAAAGAGGCGACCACGCCAGAGGCTGCTGTTGAATGGGATTCCTACTGACAGCCCGCCGCTATGTGGGGGTCTGAGTGGCTCCGACAGAAATAATATTTGAAGGCAGGATGGTAATCCTGACCCTGCATGAACAGCCAGCGGTGGATGGAGTCGTTAAATCCTTTATTTTTCATTTAATCAACAATAGACTTTAGATTGAAGCAAAGTGGAAAAATGAGATGCTGGTTGAGTTCTAAACAGAACGACCAGTTTCTCTGATGACCTTTTAACCTCTGCCTGTCCTTAAATAATAAACCAGCTGACTGGAGAATAGAGATCTATCAGTCACTCTATCTGCATCTGAAACGGTTCATCTCAAATGTGTTATTTCATCACTATCCTTAATTGGAGTTAACAGCCAGACCATTCCTCAGAGTGCTAAAAGCTTTCTCAGCTGTTAGATGATGTCAGGTCTGTTGTTCTGCTGCTGGGACCAAATGAAGGCCGTGATGAAGCATCGTCAGGATGCGTGTCAAACTTTTTGGGTTGATTTGAACTTTTTGATTTCTTGAAAAAACGAAAATGTGTGAATTTTTTTTTTTTCCATGAAGACCAAAAGCAGCTACTGTCTGCTAACCGTCTTCCTCTTCATCACCTCAACCGTCTTCCTCTTCATCACCTCCACGGCGTGGGCAGTAAATCCAGACAGCTGGCGTTCTGCCCGCCGGCTGTCGGAGCCTCCGGCTTATCACTAGCGCTGATGGATTGGTACGGCGGTGGGAGGGAGTGGAGCCTGGAAACTTAATGATTAAATAAATAATAATAATAATAATTATTGATTATTAGTTTTTCTAAACATTCAGTTTATCCTCTGCTGTATAAATCTTGTTCTAAAAGGTCGACAGCTGTTCTTATCCAGCTGTCAGTCTTCCAGTTCTCTGCTGCTTGTTGTGAGTTTTAGTGTCATTAGAGTAATGATGCTGATCCAGATGTTGCAGAGGACCCCCCCCCCTCCAGCCTCTGCATCCTGATCAAGGTTTGGGTTTTCCTCTCAGGAGTGTTTCCTCCTCCAGCAGCAGGAACGTCCCGTTCTCTCTGTTCCTGCTTTGTTTCTGTTGATGGACGACGTGTCGGTGTCTCGTATTAACGCCTCCTTCTCCCCTCTGCTCCCCCCTCTCTCTCTCTCTCTCTCCATGTTGTTGGTCTCCTTGCTTTTCATTTGTAAGTATTTTTTCTTTTATTTTCCCTCCTAAGCTTTAGTTTCACTCTCAACCTGTTTTCCTGTAGAGGTAGAGCTCCGCTCCTGGAGGCTGATTCTCACCCCCTCCTCCTCCTCCTCCTCCCAGTGGTCCCCCCTCCCCCCTCCCCCTCACTCACCCTCTGGTCTCGTTAACGAGGTCAGAGGTGAAGGGACCCCAGCAGGCTGCTCTCTGCCCCCCTCCCCCCTCCCCCTCACTCACCCTCTGGTCTCGTTAACGAGGTCAGAGGTGAAGGGACCCCAGCAGGCTGCTCTCTGCTCCAAACAGTGCTGCATGCGAAAGAACCAAAACAACCAGCATGATTGGAAGTAATTGGTCGAATACTGGAAATCTGAGAAGTGTGGCATGCTTTTTCAATCTTAAGATTGGACGGCGAGCTTTTAACTGGCTGATGTGTTGGTCTGGTCTTTAACTAGGCCGTTCCGTCGTACCTCTGGCTGCTTGAGGCGAACGGTTGGAGGCGTTTCCCTGGAAAAGCCTGAGCTGAAACCTAAAGCATGCTGAGCTTTTCAGATCTCCAGGAAAACCTGCGTCTCCTCCTGAGGCTCACATTGGTGTGGTCACCATAGCAACTGAGTCAGAAGGATAAGACGGGGAGTCGAAGATGTTTTTCCAGCCACCTTCATCCCCTAACATGCAATGCAGAGCTCCCATGATGCCTTGCGGCTTTGAGTAAATCCTCTTTGGAGATGAATCATAGCAGAGATGCTGCTGGGAGCTGGAAGCCCCGCCCACTAACGCTCCTGCTGCGGAGCAGGTGTGCTGAGCACCAGCAGGACCTCGAGAACCTCTGATTTATCAGGTTTGAGTGTGGAAACCGTCTCCAGGCTGGTCTGATGCTGATGCTGAGCTCCTCCAGCTCAGACGGTGAAACTTGGCCCCGCCTCCCTGGATGGTTTCCATCCTGTCCAGGCTGGTGCTGCAGCACCCTGACACCAGCTGACCTCCATGGCCCTGTGGCAGCAGCACCTGTGGAGGACCTCTTCCTCCTCCTCCTCTTCCTCGCTGATCACTCTGAGCTTCTGTTTGCAGTGCCAGAGCTGTTTCTCCTCCCTCCCTGTTTCCACCCTCAGCGCCCCCCTCTGTTCCCTCATCCTGCCTCTGTGTGCGTTTCCTGCAGGAGAAGGAAGGCCGGCATCCTGCCCAGCCTGGAGGACCTGCTCTTCTACACCATCGCCGAGGGACAGGAGAAGATCCCTGCGCACAAGTTCACCACGGTGAGCCTCCTGCAGAGGAAGCAGCAGCAGGCTGGTTAATCCTGATCAGAGCCTCGCTGCCGTGTTGGTTTCCCGTCTCTCTGACACTCATGTGGTCTTTCCAGGCTCTTAAAGCCACGGGGCTTCGGACAGGAGACCCTCGGCTCAGAGAATGCATGGAGATGCTGAAGGTGACTGTAAAGACCACCTCAGACGGAGCGCTGGACCGACACCTCTTCAAGAAGTACGCTTCACTTTCTGCTCTATGCTTCTAAAGATCAGCCTCTTTTTATTTAAATAAAACTATATTGTTGGTGCAAAAGATTTCTATTTTGTTTTAGGTGTTAAATGTTTAGGATTGTTTGTGGATTTTAGGTTTTAGTTTATATCTGGATCAGTTGTGACAGAAGCAGACAATAATATTCTTGACTTTTGTTACGACCACCCAGGCCACAACATATTTGAGGACATGAGGTTCAAAAGAATTATTTTATTCTTAATCTCTGGAACTTCTTTTTAGATCAGTTGTTTTGTTTTTCTGCAAAGAGACAAAAAACACAGAGTCAGATTTTTCCCCAGTTCCCATTGTCCAAAAAAACTCTAAGAGAAAAAAAAAACCCAAAGTATGAACAGAAAGTTGGACCTGGTGAGCCGATCCAAAGAAACAAAACGTTACAGCAGAGGGCCAACCCTATACAGGGCCGTCGAAGCCTCTGCTAGCAACAAACTAACGGTTAAAACCCTAAAAAAATTTTAAAAAGAACGAAAACAGGACAACCGGTCCCACCAGGTCAAAGTTACAAAAAATCAGCAAAAAACAAAGGCTAACGAACAAAAATACCACACGGCAGGCTGGAGAGGTCAGCGGCGGCCTACAAAGACGGGAGACGTGCGCATCGCGTCTGGACGCTCTCTCTGTGACGGTGGATCACTCAGAAGGTTCAAAGGGAGAGAGACAGACTAACAGGTGGAAACCCAGCCTACTTATAGGCGGACCAATATCACGCAAATTAACGTAATCGATTTACAAAAGAAAAAAGAAATAATTATCAACTCTAAAATTTAAGTGACTCAACTAAGGTCTATACAACACTAAAAGGGAAAAGAAAGAAACAAAAATAATTAATGTACCAGATGCACATAACAACTTTCTATTCCAGATGGTACTTGCTCACCCGTTTATTAATCCATAATAATCTGGACTGAAGGGTCAGAGTTTAGGAAGTGTTGGATTTCGTCATCAGTCTGATTATTTCTTATAACACTTTCCCACTGGCTGAGAAACCTGTTTAAACCAGGGAACGCTTGTCTTTTAGTGGCAGTGGGAACAGCTGACTGACCTATGTCTGCCCGATGTAGGTACCAGATCTGCCCTGCCCCTCTGATGACATCAACATGTGCCAACTCCACTCGGTCAAGCTGTATTGCACCTGTTTATTAAGAATATAATCTCTTTCTGAGTCTCAACATGTTATTACCTATATTTGCTATTATTTTACATTTCATTGACCTAAAGTAGCCAAAAGTAGAAAACAATCATTCTAAATCTTGAAAGAAAGAACTGCGTTCTAAGATTGAGCCCTGCCATTTAACAAGATTACAAGAAAAAGTCTTTTTATTAAGATCTGAGGACAGGAAGGACAAATGGAACATCTCAAAAAGGACTTTCATAGAGATTTTAGTCAAATAAAACGGTTATTTTACTTGTAGAAAACGAACGGTTGTTGACACAAAGTTAAAAGTATTGTAGCGTTAAGAGCAGATTATACTTCTGCAACCACACACATCAAATGTCACATGGGTCGGTCCCGAACCAGTTTTGCTGCTATGCTTCTGCGCCACTGATCTGGAGTTTCCATGGACGCACAGAAGTTTCCCGCCAAAGCCCAAGGGAGAGCCTATTCGAGAACTTTCGGGTGGTCACAAGAACTTCGTTTTGGCAGAGACCTTGGCATTTTCAAAAAAAATTGTCTGAGGCATCGAACAAGTGTTTGTACTTCCGAACCTCTTTGATTAATCTTTCGTCGTAGTTGTAGTTGATCCTCTGTTTTTTTTTAAATTGGACGCCCCGGCACCGAATCGAGTAGGACAACCACACAGACAGCTGGAAGGGTATACCAAGGACCAATAACAGCTGCTTTTTGTCTGTGCACTTCTGCTTGAGGTCTCTGCGGGTTTGCAACCGTCCGACACGTAGTCAGGATTTTCTCAAAGTGTGCGACGATGGTTGCAGAGCCTCTGCGTGGGGGACGTGGTTGCACACAGAGACGGATTTGACGGTTGTAGAGGCTATGCGTCAGAAGCATAAATTGGCCTTAATATGGCTAACTGACCAAGCTAAAAGAGGCTAACCTGTTAGCTAATGAGTACAGCTAGCTACAGCGCTACCCAGCTCTCCCGCTTTATTCCATGGTCTTGCAGTTACTTTGTTCACCACAAACAGATTTGTTCCGATTTTTTTATCGATGAGCTAAAACTTCATCGGTCATTAGACAGGCTAACGCTACAGATGCTCCCGACTCAGCACTCTGACGCTGCACGATGTTATCGTTGTCTGGGCAACCATAATGTTTGACATCATGTGGCAATGTTCAGCCAATCATGTAGCATATTGTCACTTGCATGCGCAGGACCCGAGCAGATCTGCTACCTACACAGGTCAAATTACTCGACAAGCGACCCGAGTTAAAATCACCTCGGCTGTGCGATACCATTGACTGCAACGTACGGTCATCAACACACACCGCCAGTCGCTTCTGATCTAACAAGCAGAAATGGCTCTGTTTACATCGTTAAACATGGAGCAGCTCTGGTGAGAGGGATTCAGACAGATAATAGAGGAGAAAATTAAAGCACACTGACTACGCTCTCCATTGTTTACTTTCCTGATTTCTGTCACACTGGTGACATCATAAACTAACACAGCGCGATGATGTCACCAGACACACAGCCACAGGACAGAGGTCACGCAGTTGCCAGCGGGGGTAAGACCAGCTTTTTATGCCAGTGGGAAGGGAGCCGATTTCTGATTGTTAGTATGTCGGCCATGTTTGAAAAACACCCGTTAACCTGCTATTTTCAGTGGGAAAGAGGATTTATAAAAAGCAACGGGGCTTATTCAGACTGCTTATTCAGACTGCAGATCCAGTTTGATCCGTTTTCAGTGTTTAGAGTCTAAAATCTAAACCTTTTGTTTTCAGCAGCGATCTTCCATCTCGGTCCACCTTAATTATTGAAGAGGCCTCTGTTTGTCCATGTGGCTGAAAGGGTCGCTGCTTCTGCTGAATTATTAAGGCCTCCATGTTTGAATGCAGGCTGCAGATTCTGGTGGTTTGAACCGGTACAGAACTAGAAGAAATGCTGTAGATGAGATGCTACTGAGCTGGATAAACATTTAGACACCAGGACCCCCGCCGATTCAGGTCGTATGACGGCACAGCAGGGGGCGGAGCTGAGAGCCCGCTGCTGCTGGACGCCATCCATCACTTCCTGCTCCTCCGAATTATTTATAGAGCTGGACTCACAGGGAGGAGCGCGTGAACTGGTGGGAGGGGGGGTGTTTCCACAGGGATTAGAGACGCTCTGATAGCTGAAATGTCCGTGCAGCAGGAGAGGCACAGCTTCCACGTCGACGGTGTGATTACTGCTGGATCGGAGCCTTAATCAGCCCAATGGAGAGGATCAGGCAGGAATGTGGCGCCACAGCAGATCTCACAGCATAAATGAGCCTTGGTGGCGTAGCCCAGGTGGAAGGAACGTCACAGCTGGTCTCAGGAACAGTCTGCAGACAGGTTGTTCTTTATGCAGCACCGGATCAGAGGCTGATTCTTAACTGATGCATGAATGAGGCTCTAGATTAGAGAAGAAAAGTCCAAACAAAGATCCTCTTAGCTTCCAGAGAGGCTGTTTTAATAACTGTCCAGTTTTATTGTCAGAACAAACCTTCTATTCAATTAGTCAGACAATTAAAACCGGAGATCCCAGCTCTACTCACAGCTCCTATTTCTTTCCTTTTTGCATCATTCCTCCTTTACTTTTTATGTTCCTTTATTCATAAGCTGTAAATGAGCTGAAAGTCCCTTTTTTCCAGCCACATTAGCCAATTTATGCAGCATAGATCTAATTGACTGCACAGCTCTTCCCTACACTTACTCCAAGTCCTGACAGAAGATTTAGTTTAACCTAGAAGGAAGTAAAATAAACTCATTAAGAAAGACAAAGGCTGTTTCTCAATTCACTAGAACATGAGTACGGACTTGTGTCCTCGCCGAGTTTTTTCCTGAGAAGAACACAGGAAAGTCTTGACTTGGGGAGAACGGGAGCACGCAGCATAGATATGGGTCAAATGGAACAGATGCGTACTTGTGGCGTCACCTCATGCTCAGCTCGTCTGGAGCTGCATTTAACCTGTTAGTAATCGTCTCTAGATAATAATAAACTGACTTTTTTCATTTAGTGTTGGAATAATAATGGAAACAGTCAGATAAACACAAATCAAATGAACATTTTACCAAATAAAAATAAAAACTCTCCATCAGAGCCAGCAGTGCTTCACACACGGCTATGCAGATAGAGGGCTGCTGCAGACGAGCTAACGTTAGCCCTGGCTACCGTTAGCCTCTGAGCTCCGCTGGTTGCCGCAGTCCTCAACTTCTGAATTATTATTATTTTTTTAAGTACGCATTAAATCGGTGAATGAGCCAGTTAGTGATGCTTAAAATTGTAACTTTGTCGCCTCAAATAATCATAAAAGGAAGTTTTATTGAACAACAGTAACAGGAAAGTTACATTTTAACTTAATAGTCTGAGCTCTGTGAGCGCTCAATTGAAAGCTGCTGCTGCCACAATGCATGCTGGGACAGATGTCAATCTCAACCCGGGGACCGTTCTCGGCCTGCTGTTTTTGGGAATTGGGACAGTACCAGGGATGCGGATGATGACATTTCACGAGTACATGAGAACGCACAAGTACACGTATTGAGAATCGGCCGAAATATATATCTAAACTTTTATAAAAATTATCAGATTCAATAGAAGATCCTACATTACAAAACATTTTAGTTTTTTTAAGTCACTTTTTCAATTCTAAGTCTGTCAGGAGAGGGAAATATTTCAGGGCTAACTGTGACTCCGAGGTCGTCTCATCGATTCAGTTTGTTTATTTCAGCTATGTGTTGTTTCGCACCAAAAGGCTTTAAGCTAATGCTAAAGCTAAAAATGCGTCATTCATTTGATTATCATCGGTTACATGCAGGAGTACCGTTTTTGAAATGATGAAACTGTCTATAAAACAACTTCAAACATCATAAACTCCAATAACTACAGCTGTAAAACAATCATTGCGATAAACGCGATTTGTTTGGATGTCTATATGACGTTTGCTGTAATGATGCTCCACTCGAGGAATCGAATTAGCAAGTCTGTGATCAACATGTTTCAATCTAACCATAACATATTTATCGACTTAAACTAATAAAAAAATAATAAAGATAGATCACATGTTCGCGTTCTGACAGCAGTCGCTGGAGCTAGCATATCCTAAAGATACACACCAATGGTCCGGCTGCTGACTCCCTGCCAGAGTTTTCTGTTGTGGCTGCAGTGAATCATGCAGCGTTTTCATTCTATTATGCTTGCTGTGTCTGTTTTAAGCAAAGATTATTGTTGCTTTATAATCCGACTGCATTTAGTGGAAATCGCCTTCAGTCCATAAGCTCCGCCTCCAGTCCAGGAGGCGGAGCTTATGGACTAAGAAAGTTAAAGTCCTTTCACTGTTATTTTGTTGTGGTTCCAGGTGAAAAGTAGCACTGACGGTGGTCTGAGATGTTTTATAACGCGGTTCTAAGGCTTCCTGTGGTTTTCTGCTCTCAGATGTGTGCAGAGCAACATCGTCCTGCTCACCCAGGCCTTCAGGAAGAAGTTTGTCATCCCGGACTTCCAGTCGTTCTGCGCCCACATCGATGAGCTCTACGACAAAGCCAAAAACATGTCCGGAGGGCAGGTACGGCAACAGGGGACGCATCATGGCTGCTAGGAAGTCAGTCAGTGATAAACATTCACACAGGGATCTAAAGTTTTATAGTTTATGTGTTTGTCTTTTAATAAAGCAAGTTTTTTATTTTTAGGGGAGGAAAATTTTGGTAGAGTTCTGACTCCATACCGTCTAAGATCTGCTTAATGCTGCTGTGTCCTTATCGTCCTGCAGGTGGCAGACTACATTCCTCAGCTGGCTCGCTTCAGCCCTGACCTTTGGAGCGTCGCTCTGTGCACCGTCGACGGCCAGCGGTATCATCCCGTTTTTATTTTTATTTATCCGCTGTGATCAGGTGTGATTTATGGATTTGATCACATGACCTGTTGAAGTTTAGAAAGCCGTCTTCCTCTCAGGCACACGGTGGGAGACACCAAGGTCCCCTTCTGCCTGCAGTCGTGTGTGAAGCCGCTGAAATACGCCATCGCCGTCCACGACCACGGCACGGAGTACGTGCACCGCTTCATCGGCAAAGAGCCCAGCGGCCTGAGGTTCAACAAGCTCTTCCTGAACGAGGAAGGTGAGGACGCGCGTCTACGGTTTCACGTGTCAGCGTGCGTCCGCCGGCCGACCCGGGGAGCCCAGGAATCCACGTCCTCAAACTGCGATCCGGTGAAATAAGAGGCGGGATAAAAACACAGGCCGCACTGTGTGACAGAGCTGAGCGGCTCTGGCTGAATCCTGAAACGACGGACCTGATCACCTTTCATTCGGCCGTTCCCGGTGTTTATTCAAACAGGTCTTTGTTCCAGGCTGGAATGAATACGACCGATTTAAAACAATGAACAATGGAGACCTGAGAGGTTCTGATCAAACACAGATTACTTTTATTTTTTAAAAAGCAGTTTTTATGGACGTTTTAGTCAGTAAATAATCTAAAGTCCACTTTAATAGAATAAAAATTTTCCTAAAAGTCTCCAGAAAACTTGAGATGTTTTTGTTTAATATGAGACCTGCTGAGTTCCCTCGGGTCACCGGCGGTTCTGGCTCGTTTTAGCTCATCGTTGTTGAATCAGGAACATTAGCTGAGGCAGAGCAGCCAGCACCAACATGTTAGCTAACCCGTTCTGGTGCCTTTCTGCAGATAAACCCCACAACCCCATGGTTAACGCTGGAGCCATTGTCTGCACCTCCCTGATCAAGGTAAGCTCCACTCTCTGTCTGCAGCGCGCAGTTCTTCTGGTGTAACAGGAAATGATCCACAGAGCGCGCTTCTGCAGATTACCGTTTACAGATTAAGGTTATGGAGAATCATGCTAAAAGGGGATTAGGCTGACGCAAACGGAGGGAGCAGAGGTGGAGCTCCAGCTTCCATCATGGATCCAGAGACTCCTGATGATTTCCTTGCATTTCCTCGTCTGACCTTCATCCCAACCCACGGAGCGGATTCCTCAGAAGCGCTACAGCGCCACCTGCTGATCCAAAAAAAGGCCCATAGAGCAGCTTCCTTCATTCTGCCTGCTGTTCCTGCAGGAGGAGGAAAGATCTACTTTCTGCTGCCGCTGTTGATCGAGCTCTGCACCGGTGGCTACAGGCTTCTCTCTGCCTCTTTATGACCCAGAAACCTTCAGAAGTTCTTCACCAAAGGGAGCTTCTGTCTGTTTAGCTGAGCTTTTTTGTTGGACCTTAAAGTTCTGAGCTGTGTTCTGGTCGGGTCCATCAAGGCTCTCTGCCTCTCTGTTCCAGCTGCAGCCTCTTTAGGACATAATCTGCCAGGCAGCAGGTCGATGATGCTGGTAACTCTTCTTCTCTCTTCAGTCTGGATGTTTTCATCACTGACTCACTGACGGTGTGGCTGATCACAGCATACAGTAGTTACCATGGAGACAGAGCTCCAACTAGCCTAACACTGAGTAGATGAGTTCTTCCCCCTCTAATCTAAATGGAGCACAGCTGAATGACCTTTGACCCCACAGATCTGTAGTGATTTCTGCCTAACATAGATGAGCAGCTCTCTCTGTGTCCGTCTGGTTCTGCTGCTGTAACCTGATGCTTTGTTTTGCAGCAAGGAGCCAGCAACGCCGAGAAGTTCGACTATGTGAGTATGCAGGATGACTGGAGTCAGATGAAGGAGGCTAAAGGTCAAAGTTCATCTGCAAAAAGAGGAGAGAAGGCCTTTAGTTTCCTTCCTTCTCTCCAAACTTCCTTTCCTATTTTCTTGCTCACTTTCTCTGTTTCCGTTTCCTATATTTTAACCCTTTTCCATCCGTCCATCATTCATTCATCCATCCATCTATCTATCCATCCATGTCTGTCCTTAATTATTAGCAATAAATGTTTTTATGCTGGGATGAACCCTGATCTATGAAGTCAACATAGATCTATAGGTTCAGAGGTCAGCGTAGATCTAGAGGTTCAGAGGTCAGCGTAGATCTAGAGGTTCTGAGGTCATCATAGATCTTTAAACAGAACTCTTTTTTTATTTCTGCAGGTGATGAACTTCATGAACAAACTTGCAGGAAACGAGTACGTGGGTTTCAGCAACGCCACGTGAGTCCTTTAAAGAGTCAATCTATACCTGATCCTAGATCAGCTGAGCAGGAAGCAACCCTCTCTGCTGCAGAAGGTTCTAACTCTGGGTTTGGGTTCCAGGTTCCAGTCGGAGCGCGAGTCTGGAGACAGGAACTTTGCCATCGGCTACTACCTGAAGGAGAAGAAGGTGAGCCTGGCGTTGCCTCCTGTCCGCCTTCAGCTGTTTTTCAGGTTCTGATGCTGTTTCTCTCCGCAGTGCTTCCCTGAAGGAACCGACATGACGTCCATCCTGGACTTCTACTTCCAGGTCCGTCTCAGGTTCTGTTCATGTTTGGACCGCAGCCGTTTCTTGGTTTGACCTCCAGGATCTTCTCCTCTCCTGCAGCTCTGCTCCATCGAGGTGACCTGTGAGAGCGCCAGCGTCATGGCGGCGACGCTGGCCAACGGCGGCTTCTGTCCAATCACAGGCGAGCGCGTGCTGAGCCCCGAGGCGGTCCGGAACACGCTGAGTCTGATGCACTCCTGCGGCATGTACGACTTCTCCGGGCAGTTCGCCTTCCACGTCAGTACCTCCCTCTGCTCCCGGCCCCTCCCCCTCTGCTGGGATGCATTTGAACCGTTTCCATGGATACGAGTCACCGCGGTAACGCTTTGGTGTTGCTCTGCTCCAGGTCGGTCTTCCGGCCAAATCCGGAGTGGCTGGTGGGATTCTGCTGGTGGTTCCTAACGTGATGGGCATCATGTGCTGGTCTCCTCCTCTGGACAAACTGGGAAACAGCGTGAGAGGAATCCAGTTCTGCACGGTACCGCGGTTCTGTCCCGGTTTCAGGTCCGTTCTGACGTCAGCAGAACCTCTGGATCCTGATTCTGAGTCTCTTCTCTCTCTGCAGGATCTGGTTTCCCTCTTCAACTTCCACAACTACGACAACCTGAGGCACTTCGCCAAGAAGCATGACCCTCGGCGGGAAGGCGGAGACCAGAGGGTGGGGCTTCTTCAACCCCCCCCCCCAGTCCCTAAATAGACACAATGGATGAAGGTTTTCTCCTCCTCTTCCTCCAGGTGAAGTCCGTCATCAACCTGCTGTTCGCTGCGTACACCGGAGACGTGTCGGCGCTGCGCAGGTTCGCCCTGTCCTCCATGGACATGGAGCAGAGGGACTACGACTCCAGGACGGCGCTGCACGTGGCTGCAGCTGAAGGTCGGGTCCAGACGGGGGGGGTCAGACCCAGGTGTTTGGTGCTGACCGGGTTCTGGAAGCTGAATGTTCTGTCGGTGTTTCAGGTCACGCTGAGGTGGTCCGCTTCCTGCTGGAGGCCTGTAAGGTCAACCCGGTGCCCAAAGACAGGTACAGAACCCTGATGTTCAGCTTTACAGGCCAACAACTTCTATTTATTTTCTATCTATCTATCTGACTGACTGCTGTGCATTAATGTAATTTAATATTCAATGAAATTGCTTTCTAGACTGTCGTATTTTCCTGTAAGCGAACACCCATACATCCTTCTTAGAACAATAGAAGCTCTGACCTGATGATGAAATAATCTACAACTTTTATTCAGAATACAAGAATAATATTTTGGTTGAAAACTCTTAAATAAGTGAAACTCAACTGCTGTAAACACTAACTACCTACGCAGAGAAAGAAAATGCAACTAAAACAATTAATAATGAATGCAGTGATGTCACAAGAATTAGGAATGAGGTTAAATATCTTCTAAACTCTATTTGATCGTGTTCAGACCAACTCCCAGCGCTAATCCCAGAGGTAAATAAAACATTATTTGGTAGAATTATGATTTACTTCATCAGAAGTCGATAACTTTAAATAAATTAATCTCAATGTCATGATTATTAGTGAGGGAATAAGGAACGTTAGGAACCTTTGGGGGAACCTTTAACAGNGAACGTTAGGAACCTTTGGGGGAACCTTTAACAGGGGAACAGAAGACCTCGCCTATTCAGCCACGCCAACAATTCCCTTTAACGACCCTCCGTTCAGAGACATAGACTGTTTCTCAATGTGTGTACTTGTGCGTTCTCGTGTCCTCGTGAAACATTCCTAGTACTGTTCCAATGCATAAGAACAGCAGACTGAGAACGGAAAAAGGCCCTCCCTATTTACCCAGCATGCATCAGAGCAGACTTTTCCGTTATGTTATTGACAGCTGTCCCAGCATGCACTGCGGCAGCAGCAGCTTCCAATGGAGCGCTCCATTGAAAGTTAAAAGTTATTTTTTCTGTTGCTGTTGTTCAATAAAAGTACGTTTTAAGATCATTTGAGGCGAGAATATTAACTTTAAAGCGTCACAATATGGCCCATTTACCAATTTAATGCGTAATTTTAAAAAAATTTCCGAAGCTGAGAAGACCGCGGCAACCAGCGGACCTCCGAGGCTAACAGCAGCCAGGGCTAACGTTAGCCCGTCTGCAGCGGCCCTCATGGCCATGTTTTTTTTTTTATTGGCAAAATGTTTATTTGATTTTATCTGAGTGTTTCCATTATTATTCCCCCATTAAATAAAAAAAGTAATAATTTAATATTATCTAGAGACTATTAATAGCAGGAGGTTAAATGCAGCTCCAGACGAGCTGAGCGTGTGATGACATCATCAGTACGCTTCTGTTCCAATTGACCCAGATTTATGTTGCGTGCTCCCGTTCTCACCAAGTCCATAGTTTTCAGGCTTATTCTTGAGAACACGAGTCCGTACTTTTATTCTAGTGAATTGGGAAACGGCCGTAGACAGGTATGCGGTATTGCAGGCTAACAAAAGAAGCCAAACGACCCCCATTCCAAAGGGATGGAGCCGTTCGTCCGTTTCAGTTCGCATGTTTCCTAAACAAAAACCAGGCTTTGTTGGGCTGCTGGATAAAACCTCAAACTCAACGTCTTTCTGATATTTGAATTGGAAAAGCTTCCTGAATGGGAAGCGAAACGTCTTCTAACTTGGGGACAAAGTCCAGTGGATTGTTTTTGTTTTACTTTCTTGTAAAGACTGACCTGGATGACTGGGAATCTTCATCAGCACTTTGAGGGAACCTTTGTTTATACCAAAGCAACGCTCCATAAGTGAGCTGTGATGGAAACAAAGGAGCTAAATCTAGATTTAAATCTAGATTTAAAGAACTCTGTGGTCAGTTCTTGAAATGTAGAAAGAACATTTTAAACTTCCAGAACAGTTTAGTTCAGCTGCTTTGTTCTGGTTCTCAGCTTTGAGACCAAAGAGGAGAGAAAGCTGCTCTCATTCAGCCTCTGCTGGATCTCTAGTCGTTTCTGCAGAACTTATCGCCTGGTTTAAGTCAGACTGAACCAGGTTCAGGACTTTAAAAGATTCTGTTAATGACCCAAAGCGACGATGGCCTTGTCTGCAGGTGGGGCAACACGCCGATGGACGAGGCGGTGCACTTCGGCCATCACGACGTGGTGACCATCCTGAAAGATTACCACACCAAGTACAGCCCTCAGGACAGCGCCGCCGAGAAGCAGAGCGCCGAGAAGAACCTGGACGGGATGCTGTGAGTGACGGAGGCGGCGGTCCTGCAGGATAAGCCCGACATCCTTCAGTATAAAAGCTCCTCATTTCTCTGTTGCTTTTATTCTGAAAATCAAGTAGCAGCAGGATGTGGGGTCCCACAGTTTAACCGTTCCTCCTCAGAGCCGTGGGCTGTGACCCCTGACCCCGCCCACTGGGTGTTCCTTTCCTCCTGAGGTGTTTGATGTCATCTGTGTAAATATGTAGTCGTCGGTCTGCAGTCACCTTTTTTCTTTTTCTGGTGTTTTATTTAAACTTTGTTTTTACTTTTCCTGTTAAACTGAACTGTTCTCGTTCCAAAGTTTCAGTTTTTTCGTTCTTCTCGTTGAACCTGAAGGGGTTAAAGAAGCAGCCAATCAGAGGCGGCTCTGCCAGGCTGCATGGACCCGGTTCTGCTTTATGGGTCAGAATGAGAAGCTGCAGGTCAGTCAGCTGTTCTCCTATAGGACGGCTCGGATCTTTACCAGAACCGGAACAAACGCAGTCCTGCAGCTGGATTTATAAACAGCACTGTTTATAAATCCAGCTGGAAACAGGCAGGCAGAAGGAAGCTGTTTTTAAATCACATAACCAGTTATTATCGGATGCTCCTGATGAAGCGGAGCAGAACCTTCCCGGCCCGCCAGACTGACCCACGCTGGGAGTCATCACAGAGTTTACCCATAATGCAGCAATCAAAGATTGAAAAGCTGTGTATTTATAAGCGTTTAAGTGTTCAACATCTTTATTTCTAGATTTAAAAATATTGTAAAGTTTTTAATTTTAATGTTTGTGTAGCTTTTTACTATTTAGTTTGAATGATTTTAGATCCTCTTTCTGTGCAGTGTAAAATTCAAGATGGCCGCTGAAATGGAGCAATCATTTAATGACGAGTTTTGTTCTTTTTTTGAGTTTTTAAGGCACTAAAGGTCAGATTCAAACCCGGGTCGCCTCCGTACATGTTTAACATTTTATCAAATTGCTTCTATAAGTTTTCTTTAAATGTGTTTTTGCATCCCATCCGTATTTATCCGATTGGTTCTGATGCGTTCCTGCTGAGTCCGGTTCCTACCTGCTCCGTTCCGTCTGGCTGCTCCTTCCGGAACCTTCCAGTTTCTGTGGAAAACTGCAACAATTCACCTGAATGTAGGGAAGCGGATCTGGAGGAAATGGGTCAAATGTTCTCCCTGCCTGAACCTGAGCGGGCCGTTCCACTCGTACCTATAGGTTTCTGCAGACATTCGGTTGTGTTTGTAACACGTGGAACATTCCGGTCCTCGGGTCGGAACCAGGTCCGTTAGCGAAGCACAAAGCTGCAGCAGCAGCTCTTTGATTCACGTGACGTTTGTTTGGGTCGGTGCAGCTTTCTGAATGTAACGTGTCGGTTCTGGTTCTTCTTCGTGTGTTTTTGTCGCTGCGCCTCCATCAGTTATTTATGTACACTGAAAAAAGAAACTAATAAAACACTGAAAAACAAACATTTTCTGTTATTTTATTATTATTATTACTTAAATTCAGGTTCTGACAGGTTCTGTCTTTTAGGGTAAATTTAAAACTTTGTTGATATGAAACTAAAACATTCTAATTTAAGATTGTTTTAAAAATCCTTAAAAATAATAATTTTGTTTTTTTCCACCAGATGGAGATAAAAGTTTCTTAAATCATAAATAAACCTGTTTACAGACGTTTCCATTAGATTTCATGACTTGGAAGCAGAACCGCTGACCGTGTTGGACCTTTCTAGACCGAGACCAGAACCTTCTCCTCCTGCCTTCAAACTCTAGTTATCGGATCTGAAAAAAATCTTCTTTTCTCTTTAGAGAGAAAGCAGAAAGTCTGATCTTTTTAAAACATTTCTAGGTAGACTCAGGTGGAGCAGTAGATGTAGAAATGAAGGGTCCAGTTCTGGTTCTGAAGGTGAACATGTTCTGCCAGAGTGTAATTTAGTGATCGTTTTTGTATTTTCCAAAAATGAGCTCAAACATATTTAATAAATGCTTTCCTATTGTTAAGAACACAAGAGAATCATAATACACTGATATTTATAGTCAGAGAGATGTTTTTTAGTCCATTATTTTTATATATATAACAAATAACAGCCGATTCTGATGAAGTACGATTTTAATTCCATCCATCCAGAAAAATATGGATATGCTTCATTTTAAATATAGCAAAGCATATTTTTTTCTTGTACTTTCTGGTAAACTTGGAAATATATTTTATTGCATGTTGCATATCCGAGTAAATCTGTTTCAGCTTAAATCCTATAATGCCTAATGTATTGTTTTTGATACATACGGTTTTTTTTAAATGTTTTGCGTCTGACACCTTTTGCATAATTTAATGGTAAAAAACTTTGCTCAAAATCCTATTGTACACAATCAGATATACCTGATAACAGCCAGTAGAAGACTACACAGAAAATTATATTGACTTATCGCAAAGTAATAAATTATTAATATCAAAAATGTGTTTCTGTTTTTTCTTTTTACATATTTTGGTAAAAGGGCAAATAAGGACTTCAAAAAAAAAAAAATTTTTTTTTTTAAATTCTTGGATCGGGCTTTAAAGGGTTAAAGCTGCAGCTATGCCTACTTTTCTCTGTGCGGTTTAAAAAGATTTATGAACCTATTTACTGATATAATGAAGCCAGAAACAAAATTTCAAGATTTGTTGAAGTTCTGCAGTCTGATTCTATCTGTTCAATAAAAAAACATTTTAACTTTTAACTGGGAGTCATGGTCCTGAGAGAAGCCAAGATTTTTTTAATTAGTAAAGAAGAACAAACTGTTTTCTCAAGCTTCTTGTGTTATAATACTAACTTGTATAAACTTACAATCTGTTGCCATTTTTAGCTTAAAAAGCTCTGTATGTGTAATGAACAGATTTTTTTGTGGCATCTCTAATGTTTTTAACCAACCGGTCTCCTAACTTTTACTTAAACATTGAAATAGCTGCTGGTTAATATTCACCTATGCCTCAAAGCGACAAATCTGATGATGTTGCACTGAAAAGAGAGACAAAACATGGAATTAAAACGCTCTGAACACAGATAGCTGCACCCAACCTCTGTTACTGTTGGCTACAGTAAACCAGCAGAAAGGGGAGGAAAAAAAGCTGAACTTATTGGTGGGAACATTTCCACTCCAGGCCTTCAGAAAGATACGCCTGTCTGACAACCTGCTGTGGAGGGAATCCAGAACAGAAGATCCACCCTAACAGGGATGAGTGAGACAAGCAACAGAAACAGCTGTAGAGCGGTTCTGGGATCTGAAGGCTGATGGTTTGGACCTTTTTCCTGAAGAAAATGAGAATTTGGGAGTAAAACGTTCAGTCGTCACAAGAACGGTGACTTTTCCGCCCAAAAACACAAAAATAGAAGACAAATTTTAAAAAAAAAGGTATTATAGTAGATGAATGAATAGCACAGCTAGTAAGAAGACTGGCTGATAAATATAAAGGTTGTGGGTTCAAATCCAGTAAGGGCTCTTGGTGCATTTTGGTCTAAAAGTGGTTAAAAAACAGGCAAAAACAAGAGAGTTCCAGGTCTTGAACCTGCAACCTGTGGGGTCCCATCCCCTTTCTTTTCCCCCGAGCCACCGCTCAGCACACTAGTTAAGGTTTTCGGGGTAAATTTATCTTTCAAATTTGAGCAAATTCGCCAAAAAAAAAAAAAAAAAAAAAAAAAAAAAATAATTTATTTCAATGAGTGGAGCTGAAGCTCTAAGCTGAAGAACAGGTTTAGAAGTTCAGACCGAGCTTTGGACCGATTGTTCTGATGGACTTCAGCTCAGGAGGAGCTGCTGAGTCCCAGATCACCTCCACCTGTTCTGGATCCTTTACCTGCTGAGGACTGAGCTTCAGCAGAACCTCCTTCATAAGAACAAAGAATCACCCAAGAGTCAGTTTCTACATAAAAAAGATTTATTTCTCACATTTACATAAATAGACTTCAAGACACTTTAGCATAATTTGTGATCCGGTCCAGAAGTTCAGAACCAAAGATTAAAACCCAACAAGGCTGCAGAGTCACAGAAACAAGCAGGAATGGAAAGTTTTTCTTTCTGTCAGCAGAGTGATGGAGGTTAGTTCAGCTAACTATAGAAACCCAACATGCAGGGCAAACCGGGCCGGGCCGGGCAGAACCATGGGGAGAGATACGGGCTCAGAACCATCAGCAGAGTTCGACTGAGACGTCAGTTTTCATCTGGAAAGTCTGTCATCTGTGGAAAGAGAAACAAGAACTTCATGG